CCACAGCGCACTTCCCTCCTGAGCTCCCATGGGCATTCCCGCTCGGAATATCCTTCCACAGCCCAGCTCTCAGCAGAGGTGCTAGGCGCCCCCAGGTTTCTGTGATGAGGCCTAGCCTCTCTGACTGACACACACGTTCTGTGAGTTTTACAAGAGTGTGTAGGGAAAATACTCAAGACAGTAGTTTAATTCCTTCGTCTTAATATCACTGTCTACTTCTCTGAGTTTCTGCTGCTGTCTTTCATGGGGAAATGTGTCCATAAAACAACACTCACTCAAATCATTTTTGGTGGAGCAGCAGATCCGAACCCCTCCAAGTCGATGTGAAGTCAGCGTGGTACAATCCGCTTACCCCTCGAATAACGTCTACAGAACATTTGTCTGGGGTGTCCTAGCCCTTGACATATGTGCGCGCTTCCCTAGAGGACACCCACTCAAGTGTGAATGGAGGCTGGAGAGGTGGTGCAGAAGGAAGGCCCAGTGTATGGGACTCCGCTTCCTGCCGAGGGGGATCTTGTCAACCCCTCTGTCTCAGCCTCTGAGTAGCCGAAAATGCGATGCCTCAGCCACAGACACTTACTTTCGCATTTTTCACCTGGCAACACAAAGTCATCTTCAAGCTGAAAATCCTTGTCCTATTTTGAGAGAGGAAGGGGAGGAATAATAACTTGCTCTGAGAAGGCCCACTGATGTTCTAGAGATGCGCTGAGAAAATATGAATGGCGCGCAGTTTCTAGCTCCAAACGAAGAACAGTTATCTTCGGGGAAATGATTTTTCAAAAACGGGTAGAGGAATATGGACATTGCTATCAGAAACTCAGTCCCTTTTGGGACTGGGGCCTCCCACTCCCACGCACCTTCGAAGCCCCTCCCAGGACAGCGGCTCTTCCCAGCTCGGATTTGACTCCAGTCTGCCCTCGCCCCCGGCGATCTGCAGTCACCAGAGGCCCCAAGACCCAGCCAGGTCGCACAGATGGTCAATGGCTCCCGCTCACCTAACCCCTCTATTTTCAAAAACAGAAAAGGGGCGAACACAAGAGTCTTCCCTTGGCTTGCGTCTTAAGGACACGTGGAGATTAAGCAGCCCTGGGTGACGCTTGCAGGACGACCTCTCAAAGCCGTGCGCAGTTGGGGAGGAACCAGACACGCAGAAATACACTGGCGCAGGCATTTGTGAACTGCTGGGAGGTCTAGCGGCGTAGGCCGGGAAATCCACGCTCATAGACACAATGTCCAAAGGTCGTATTATTCGGTGCAGGCCATAGATGCGTGCAGCGCACCTGGAAAACTATAAGCTGCCTGCGCTCTGTTTTTTTCTTCCGAAGCTGCTTTCCAGCCGGGAGCCTCTCCTGCCTCTCGCTCGGCTGGAGGACCTGCGATAACCCAGAGGCAAAGGCGCCCCACGCGCAGTGAAAAGCACTAATTAAGGGGAAAGTGGCTTGAAGAGGAGCACCAGAGAACTTGGGGTGTCTTTCCCGGGGTTGTGGTCTTTCACCTCCAGCAGTCCTGGAACGGGTTCGGGGGTGGGGGCTGGCGGGGTCACTGGGAATCCTCTTCCCAGTCATCTCTTTAGAAAACGCTGCCCTGAGCTAACCGGGAGACGCTGGTGCGCACACAACCAAACTCTCCAAGACACAAATCTCTGAAGAAAATGGATTCGATTTGGCCCCCCACTTCTGCTCAAGAATTTTGGAGAAGGAGGGTGCGCTCATGAGTTCTCCAGGTAAAGGGAGCCTCATCCACCGGCGTCCGCACCCGCTTCAGAAAACTTCCCTCAGCTGTGTTTGCACCATCAGGCGAAGCGCGCCTTGCGCAGGCAACATCCCGCTCCTGCCTGTGCGCCCGCATAGACGCGGAGGGGAAATTGGCGGCCCCCGGCGGGGAAATTAAGGCCGGCGCCGGTCCGGGACGCGGTAAAAAGGAGAAGGTTTTTCGAGGTCTCCCCTGGGATCCTCTTGCACCTCCGAGTCTCCGCTCCCGGCGGCAGACCTCGCGGCGCTTGCTCCAGAACCGACGCTAATGCCCGTGGCACACACAGAAAAGCGCCGGCCCCTGTCTCGCCCTGCGCCCCTCTCCTCCTCACTCCCTCCAGGACGAGGAGCGCTCAGCACCTTTGGCTCGGGGCAGATGTTCACGTGAAAACTGCGCCAACAGCCTCAGTTTCCAAATCTGTAACCTGAACACGGGAAACCTTTTCTATCTGAGGGGGTTCTGATGGAACAGGGAGAAGGGGGAGTCGCTGGAAACCCGGGAAAGTCACGTAGAAGAACACCCAACCACTGAGTGGGAGTGGGAGTGGGGTATTTGCAGGAAGAGGCAATTGCTTCTGGAAAAGATCAACCCAACCGTGCCTGAACCCCTGCGCCTGAGCTAACTCTTCTCTCGGCGGCACAGGGCAAGGGAGTGGGCATAGGGACGGTGTCCTTTGCGTGGCCTCCATCCCCTCGCCTTGTGCAGAACAGAAACGTGGGCATGGCGTGCGCGTGTCTCTGTGTGTGTGTGTGTGTGTGTGTGTGTGTGTGTGTGTGTGTGTGTGTGTGTGTGTGTGTGTGTGTGTGTGTGTGTGTGTGTGGCGCGCGCGTTCCTACTCCCATGTAAACACACGTCTCCCACGCTGCCCTAACTAGGCAGCCAGCGGTGGGCCCGCGCGCGAGGGAACACCGCGTAGGAACTCCTGCAGAGACTCTCCAGCGACGCAGCGCTGAGTGAGTGAACACCCCACCCCACCCCACCCCACCATACAATCACCACCACCACCAGCACCACCGCGGTCTCCTTTCCCAGCGGGGCCTCCAGGCTGCTGACAGTTTCTGGGCTTTTGGCGCCCCCTCTGGACGCAGAGGAAAACTGCAGTCCAATTTTGAAGGCTTTTTGACTTGAGTTTTCTAAGATACGTGAATATGAAATGCTTGCACCAAACCAGTCGAAAACGCATAAAGCACCGTCTCTTGCGACTTTAAAGCCTACAATTTACGCATCTCTTATGACCTCATTGTATTAAACGTTACTAAATATGTACGTATGTATCTTGACACACGTTTAGCAAAATATTTTATGTTTTAGTGGTCCTTACAGCCTTCACGCCAGTAAATAATGGGAGTTAGAATAAAACAGGATTAACCACAGGCGCTCTGGTTAGAGATCATCTTTACATCTCGTGGATCGGGGCTCCAGGGTTCACAGAATTATTCTTGCAAGTCCTCCTCTCCAGGACAGCGAAATCTCTCCTGGCCAGCAGGGACTTTTTCTCCCCAAAAAAGATGTCTGTCGTCGTTCTTACACTTCGGAGAGTTAATCACACAGCCACGAACAACAGACAGGGGTCTCTAAACCTCGCCAACACCGCACGGAAGACTAGTTGCATGGGATTCGAGTCGCATTCATTCATTTAAAAAGTAAACATACTGTTTATCAGGGTTGTAACTTACTACCTTCTGGAGAGTGACGCTTTGTATAATCAGTGTTGGCTTCTTCAGAAGAAAGTGAGAGGGAAAGAAAATTATTTTTCATCTTCAAAGGGAAGGGAGAAAAATCATGCTTTTTAAATCTTGTAGAAATGTCCTCAATTCGCAAATCAGAATTAAAACAAGGTTTCTAAGATGCGGGCCAATTCGAAAATTTACTTTGAGGTGAGCGTTTCCGAGATCAGAGTAGAGGGAGTTCAGAATCAAGCGTTCCCCAAGGCTGTGCGTTTATTTGGGATCTGAAGACACAAAACCTGCAAGCGGTTAAGACTTCACTTCTCTCGGCAAACTGTTAACTCCTCACTCGGCCCACCTGTCTGTCAGTGGACCAGTTCAGGGAGCGCTCACCTCGCACTGGAAAGGCTGCAGAAACACCTAGGACTGCGGGCCGTCCTCGGGGCTGCAAGGACGCAGGACTCGAAAACCACGGGTGCTTCGCCCCCCTCCCAGGTGTTTGGTAAATGCGGGCGACCCAGGAGTACAGCTTCCCCAAGTGGAGTGTCCTGCCTGCGGCGGTGCCCACTTGTCCTCCTTCTACCAACCCAGTGACCGGCCTGAGCCTGGCGGCCTCGGACGGCCCATTCGCCAAGCTCGATCTCCAGAAACCGGAGGAGCGTGCAGACTCTGTCCAGTGGCAGCTCGGCTGACGTGCTGGACTCGGCCGCGAGGCGAAGACCAGAAAGTCCAGCAGCTGCGCTGTCAACTGGGGAGCACCGGTAGAGTTGGGGGGCTGGGGTGGGGGTGGACTGTCAGAGGTCAAGGTCGTTGCGGCTCAGGGGACGGCCCCCCGGGAAGCGCGCGGCTCCCGACGGCGCGCAGCAAGCCCCCACACACACACCCCCGCCTTCCCGGGGAGCCCAAGTCCCGGCCGAGCCAACCCCGGCGAACCAGAGCATGTTAATCTATTTATATGGATTATTACGGAGGCACAGCAGGCGTTGAGTCACCAAAACATTTGCTCCAAAAGACCAATTCTAAGCACTTTCAGAGGAGGGAGGCTCCGGGCGCATAAACCCGGCTACGCATTCGGGAGCCACTGCCTTTCCAACATCGCAAACTCCAGCTAAGTCCCCGGTGCCACCGAGGGAGCAGCAGAAAGACAAGCCGGAGTGGGGGTGGGGGCAGAGTCCCCCGCGCGCGCGCGCGCGCGCGCACACACACACACACACACACACACACAAGCAAGCGCTCAGACGACTCGCGAGGAGACAGCACCCAAACCCTGACATACCGACAGTGCTGCAAACTTACACACTCGGCTCTCCCGGGTCCCCCGCCTTCCCAACAGCCCCCCCTCCTCCACCACCCCGCCAGCCGCCCCTCTCCAGGGCTCCCCTCCCCTTGCGTCCCCTCCCTCCCCTCTCGTCACCCAGCCGAGAGCCACAACCCTCCTCCCCCCCCCAAAATCAGGCCCAATCAGCTGCCTGCCAACCCCTGAAAAGTCGAGTGGCGATTGGCTGAAAGTTTCTAAGGTGAGGGGGGGGCCAGTATTTATTAGAGAGACCCGGGGCTGGGAGTTGGAGAGCGGAGAGCGGAGGTCGAAACTGCCCGGAAACTTTAGTGGCGCTGCAACTTGCGAGTTTCACCCGGGAACTTTTCTCAACTGGAAGAGGAGAGGAGGGGTGCAAGAGCCCCCACTTGTGCTCTCTTGATCCCCTCCTCCCCCTCTCCAAGTCGCCTTCTCCCACCTGGAGCGGGCACCGCGGGCTGGCCACCCCGCGCCCTTCTAAGCGCTCGCCGCTGCCGCAGCCGGGGAACGCGCCAGCCTCCCCGGGAGCCGGTCGCTCCGCGTCCCGGCAGCCGAGGCGAGAGGAGCCCGCACCCCGCGTCCCCAAGCCGCCGCGGCTGCTCGCCTTTCCCGGCTACTCGCCCCCTGCCCTGGGCCCGCGCATGAATCTCCTGGACCCCTTTATGAAGATGACCGACGAGCAGGAGAAGGGCCTGTCCGGCGCCCCCAGCCCCACCATGTCCGAGGACTCAGCGGGCTCGCCCTGCCCTTCGGGCTCCGGCTCGGACACGGAGAACACGCGGCCACAGGAGAACACGTTCCCCAAGGGCGAGCCCGACCTGAAGAAGGAGAGCGAGGACGACAAGTTCCCCGTGTGCATCCGCGAGGCGGTGAGCCAGGTGCTCAAGGGCTACGACTGGACGCTGGTGCCCATGCCGGTGCGCGTCAACGGCTCGAGCAAGAACAAGCCGCACGTCAAGCGGCCCATGAACGCCTTCATGGTGTGGGCGCAGGCGGCGCGCAGGAAGCTGGCCGACCAGTACCCGCACCTGCACAACGCCGAGCTCAGCAAGACGCTGGGCAAGCTCTGGAGGTAGGAGCCGGGCGCGGGCAGGGTGGGCGCCGAGGCGGCGGCGGGGGTGCGGACTCCACGACCCCGCAGGATCCCCGCAGCGGAGGGAGTGGGGACGAGTTAGTTACTTGGCTCAGAGTTTGACAAAGTTCTCGAATGGCTCT